GCTAGTCAACCAAGATACATTTATTTATATTTCTTCCTGTTATTCATCCATTTTTGTCTATTAAGGATTTTATGATTTTCTTATCAATTGACCTATTTTATTTTATTTTTTATTTTTATTTTTTTAGAGACAGAGTCTCATTTTGTCACCCTTGGTAGAGTGCTGTGGCGTCACAGCTCACAGCAATCTCCAACTCCAACTCCTGGACTTAGGAGATCCTCTTGCCTCAGCCTCCTGAGTAGTTGGGACTACAAAGTGCCCACCACAACGCCTGGCTATTTTTTTTGTTGCAATTTGGTCAGGGCCAGGTTTGAACCCACCACCCTCAGTATATGGGTCCGGCGCCCTACTCACTGAGCCACAGGTGCTACTCGATCTGACTATTTTGTATACTAAGGATACTGGCTTTGTCATATTGGTGGCTTTGTCATATTTTTTTCCTTGGTTTGCCCTTTTAATTCATGTTGTTGGATGCTTATAAAATACTTATCAATACACATCTAATTTTTTTGTTAGCTTAGGAAGTTCTTTCCTATTCTACCATCAGAAAGTCACGAAAGTGTTAATGATGATTCTTCTTTCTGGAGGAGGATGAGATTATGAGTGAAATTTTTTCATTATAATTTCTCCACTTGATTTTCTTTTATTTTTTTGAGATAGAGTTTCACTTTATTGCCCTTGGTAGAGTGCCGTGGCATCACAGCTCACAGCAACCTCCAACTCCTGGGTTTAGGTGATTCTCTTGCCTCAGCCTCCCAAGTAGGCTATTTTTTTGTTGCAGTTTGGCCGGGGCTGGGTTTGAACCCACCACCCTTGGCATATGGGGCCAGCCCCTACTCACTGAGCCATGGGCACCCCCCCTTTTTTTTCTTGAGATAGAGTCTATGTTGCCCTCCATAGAGTGCCTGTGGCATCACAGCTCACAGCAACCTCCAATTCTTGGACTTAAGCAATTCTCTTGCCTCAGCCTCCCAAGTAGCTGGGACTACAGGCACCCACCACAATGCCCGGCTATTTTTCTATTGCAGTTGTCATTGCTGTTTAGCTGGCCCAGGTCTGGTTTGAACCTGCCAGCCTGGGTGTATGTTGTCAGTGGCCTACCCACTGAGCTACAGGCTCTCTGTACTTGATTTTAATAGCAAACAAGTAGTCTTTTACAACAAGATTAAAAAATAGCTAATGTTTAAGAATATCAGCACACAGGAATTCATGGTTACAGTAAGCTATGATTGTGCACTCCAGTCTAAGCCATGGAGTGAGACCTTATCTCTAAATAGCCAAACAAAACAAGTGGCAGCACAGCTTGGCTGCTGTGTGTGGATTACCTGCATTCTGTTCCATGCTCTCCTTGATGCCGTCTAGGAGCTCATGAGCATCCTCCACATTCTCCTCCTCTTCTTCCTCAGCTTCCTCTTCCTCTCCTAAATCCTTAGGTGCAACAATTGACTCCTGCATGCCATAGGGATATTCACATTAAATGATGCCCTGTGCTGACTTGCTACTCACAAATCATATGGCAAGTAATCCCAGAAAAAGTCTGGTACCCGCTTGGTGCCTGTGGCTCAAGTGGATAAGCGCCTGCCACATACACTTAAGGTGGTGGGTTCGAATCCAGCCCGGGCCCACCAAACAACAATGATGGCTGCAACCAAAAAATGGCCGGGCGTTGTGGCGGGTGCCTGTGGTCCCAGCTACTTGGGAGGC